TTTTGCTTTTGTTTTTCCCTTTTGATTTAGTTTGTTTCTTAGAATCTTTTCAGGTGCATGACTAGGAAGTCTAACAAGGACAACCTAGTTGAACATCCAGAGATAGACAATCTTGAGAAGTTACTTAGCAAGCAAAGAGCCAAAGAGAGGGCCGACGAAGCAGCTCGCGCTCACGCCGCCGAAGTAGCCCGCGCTAATGAAGAAGGAAGAGATCCACCTCCTCCTCCTCCTAATCCACAAGATCCTGCTGGGGATGTGAATGTGCAATCTCAAGCAGACATTCAAACAATCGGAGACTATGACTCTGCCGATGCCTTCTTCACGGATGGAAACCCTATCCATCCACCACTTCCTGCAAGGAATGACTATGAGATCAAGCCTCAGATCATAGCATTGGTTAGACAGAACCAATTCAATGGCCTTCCAGCCGAACATCCTCTTGATCACATAGAAAACTTTGAAGAGATTTGCACCACTACTAGCTCCCCTGATTCTTTTCAAATGACTGAACTCAAGAACATGATGGCTCAAGTTCTTAAGGGACAGCTCAAGCATATCAATGCAATAGAAGGGATGAGTGATGCTAATGAAGACCCATCAAGAGAATGCATGGGAGATTTCTCTAATGAAGCCAATGAAGAAGATGTGAACTACATTGGAAACTATGGGAACAAGGGATACAATCCAAGCTATCGCCCAAACCCCAACATGTCTTATAGAAACCCCAATGTGGAGAATCCTCAAGACCAAGTGTATCCTCCAAGGTATCCACAACAACAAAGACCTCCTTACCAATCTCAAGGAAGTCAATTTCAGCCAAGGCAAGGATATGAGCAGAGATCATCATATCCGCCCAAGGAGCCATATGCTTCTTCACCAAATCAAGCTCCTCCAAACCAACAAGGTGGGAGATTTGAAGGAATCCTCCAACAGATCATGGATGGCCAGAAGAGAAACACTAAAGAGATGTATGAGAAGATGGACACTTTGTTCAGCAATCTCAACACCAAGTATGATGCTGTTGCCACTCATGTGAAGAAACTAGAGACTCAAGTCACTCAAACTATGGAAGCTGTTAAGAGACAGGAAGCTGAATCCAAGAAGTCCTTTTGCAACTCAGCCGCCATAGAAGAAAGATTTGAAGACCAAGTTCCAGAATGGATGCTTTCAAAACCTACTGTTGATTGCATGATTTGGCCTGAAGAGATTACCCAGAGAGAGAGTCCAATCGAGCTAGAAAGAGAAGACTCTTCCCAAAGATTATCCCCAAGACTGATAACTCAGGAAAGTTTGTTGTGCCTTGTATCATCAAAGGTAACATTCTTGAGCAATCTTTGTGTGACACAGGAGCCAATGTGAACATCATGTCTAAGAGGATAGCTGACAAGATAGGCCTCACCAAGATACAGCCATCATCCATCTCCATCAACTATGCTGATTCATTCTCACAAACCCCTATGGCTTTGTGCCTAATGTGATGGTGCAGATTGGAAATTGCTCTATCCCACCGATTTCCAGATTGTGGAAATGAGAGAGAGTAGCCATAGACCTCTCATATTTGGAACCCCTTTCCTGTCTACTGTGGGTGCCATATTTGATTTCCCCAATCAAAGAATCTCTTTCAACAAGGTGAACAAGGGTATGTTCTTCCCTATGTGTTCAACAAAGAACTCTTTTGTTGACATGGTCCAAGAGGAGAAAGTTACTTTGAAGCCACCCCAAGAAGGAGAAACTGAAGAACATCAAGGAAGATCCCATTCCTAAGCCCAAGCAGCTTGCCAAACAAGCAAGGAGTAAGACTAAGGCCCCTACACCAAAACCGCCCAAGGGATCAACCAAGATTGAAGATGAGGCCAAGCCAAGAAGAAGGTTAGAAAGCCTAGGTCTGGCCGCAACATGAAGCTTCTATTCCCAAAGGAGCTTATTGATGAGAATCTAGAAGGATTCAAGGAGAAAGTGACAAGAACTCTAAAGCTTTTTCCTAAGGCAGTAGTGCCAAGGGACATTCATGGAGAGATTGTCTATCCAGCTGTGAATCACCCACCAGATACTCATTGCAAGGAGAAAAGACTTGGAGGATCAAGATGCCTCTTGTCTCCATCTTCTCCTGAGCGCCAAGCCTTACAGTCAAGCTAAAGACTTAAAACAAGCGCTGCATGGGAGGCAACCCATGAGGTACTTTTACTTTTCTTTCTTTAAATTTCTTAGTTTTTGTTTTGCTTTTGTGTTTTCTTTGTTTTAAGATAGGATAGAAGGAGAAAAAGGTGTGAAAACACAATCCGCGCCAAACATTGGCCGCGGACGCGCAAAAGATTTTGGCCGAGCAAATTTCCAATCGGGCCGACCGTACGGTCGAGCCGGGAAGGAACGGCTGCTCGGCCGGACACTTGCGCGACAAAACCGTTCGCGCGGCACGCACGGGAAAGAAAGGCCGCGATCGGCCGAATTTCGTATCGGAACGGACCGACCGTGCCGGTCGATCCGGGAAACAAACGATCGGCCTCGGCCGAAATTCTCTCCATTCGCGAATTTGGCCGACCAAATCGCTCGACCGCGACAAATCCATCGGCCATCGGCCCAAAACTTTTCTCGGCCAAGGTAAGTCCCCTTTTCATTAATTCAAACCGGTTTTAACCAATCCTAAACCAACTTAAACCGGTTTTCAATCAAAATTCGAATTTGAAAAGGAAAATTAATAGGATTTAGATCTTATTTACTTCACCTTTCCCTTGAAAACAACAAGAACCTCTCTTTCTTCTCCAAAACCCTAAACTCCATTAGAGGAACTCTAAGAGTTTTGATTTCAAAACTTTTACTGTTCATAACTCTAAATTGGAATTTACTTGCTCTTGCAACCTTATTCACTTTTCAACACACAAGGTATGTCTTCTAACTCTAATCCTATGTTTATGCAAGATCGAAATTCTCAATAAGTTTCATGTTTGGTCTAAACTCTTGTCTAAACTTGAAATTACCATCCTTATAGTCTTGTAATGAACTTGCTAGGTGGAACCTAGGTGGTTTAGAGTTATTTGAAGTTTAATTTCACAATTGAATAGTTTTTCACAAAACTTATTGGGCATTCCAAACCCCTTATTCAAAGGTGAAATTGCTTGGCATACTTCAATTCATTAGTTTATCTAGTGATTACTTGGATTAGAAACTCAATTTCTCTTGATTTGCTGAAAATTTTGATTTTAAGCACCATAATCTTGGGATGAACAGTAAAATCCGAAAATTAACTTTGAAAAAGTGAAATTTCCATTTTGTCTCTTTGATTCATGATTAAGCCTTGAGTTGTTCCATTATTCCATATCATTATTACAACTCAATTAGCTTATTCTTCTTTTGCATTAATCACAAACTCATATTTCTTCCCAAGAATTTGCTCTTGTAGGTACCCAATGGCAAAGACAAAAGGAAATGAGAGTATGAAGAAGAAGAAGAACCCATTCATGGAACCACCAAAGAAACAAATCAAGCTAGGGAGTAGTAGCTCCAATGCAAGAGCAGCAATACCAATCACCACATTCCATTGATGCAATCAAGAACATGTGGAGAGTCCAAGAAGGAGAAGATGATTGGGCACTTGTAACCTTTGTTGGAGAACAAATCCAAGACCCAAGAAAGTAAGAAGGCAATGGAGAAGGTGAACATCGAACCTTGTGTGAAGATGGACACCCAAACCCTTGACCTTCTCAAGATAAGAGATGATGTCACATGGTACATAAGGAAGCTAGGCTTGAGCAAGCTCTTCAAGCTAGAGTGTAGTGAGTACTCAACTAACCAAGGAGTTCCTCTCCACAGTAGCTCTTGCCTTTCCCAACCACAATGGAGACCAACCAGCTGGTGATGGACTCCTACTCTTCAAGATAGGCGATGCCAATGGGCGCATCTCCATCTCAGCTCTATGCCAACTCTTTGGACTTCCCAATGAGACAGCACATGACTTCAAGGAGAACTCAAAGAGGAAACAAGCTGCCTTTGCTGATTGGACACACTTTGCCAATGAACCATTCTTGCCTTCAAGATCAAAGGTGTCTAGAATCACTCATCCAGCCATTCGCTATGTGCACCGCCTCATCTCCACCACTTTCCAATGCAAACAAGAAGCCAACAAGGTCACAACTGATGAGTTCTACATCCTCACCACACCATTCATCAAGCATGAGTACAAGGCCAACCTTGGACTTTTACTTGCCAAGACATTCATCAATGTGAGGAAGCTAGCTCAAGACTTGGAAGGCAACAAGAAGCTTTGTGTTCGTTTTGGGAGGCTTATCACGGCCATAGTACAACATGTGGGGATTGACATTCCCAACTATGAGCCACTACCCAAGCCAACCCCTTTGGATCTCCATGCTCTTCAGCACATCCACTTCCTAAACCGTTGGACTAAAGACCCAACTCGGTTTTGCTATGAGTTTCCAATTGGTCCAGCCAACACTTCCCTTGTCTTGCTGCCACATGAAGACATCCCAAGCCTACGCTCAGGTGTTGTCACTTTCCAGCCCAATGAGGAAGACTTCTATGTTCCATCAAGTGAGAAACCATCATTCCCCATGCTCACCTATCGCACACTTCAGCATGCAGTCAAGACTCAACGCCGCCACCAAGAACGCCATGTTCTCACTACTGGCATGGCCGCGAACCAAGCTCTAGACCGTGTAAGCAAGCTGGAGAAGATGTGGAATGCCAATCTCGCTTCATCTCACGCCTAGTTCGTGTAGTTCGCCACATTGCACCGGAGAGACTCTTTCGCCCTTCTTCCACCGCTAGAGAGCCATATGAGCCTGACCTTGGTGAGTTCTCACTAGACTCAGAGCTTGGTTCAGAAGGCGATGACCCCATAGATGAGGAAGAGAGTTCTTCTCACTGCCACACATAGTCATCTCAAGTGGTACTTAGTGCAATGGACACTTACAAATCTCCATTTTCTATCCCTATCTCATTTTAATGAATTTCTCTTTATTTTTCTTTTACTTTGAATATTACCTCTCACCTTAATGTGATTTGCTTTCACCGGGACGGTGCAAGTTAAGTCTGGGGGGAGTTTTATTGTGTTACTAATGCATTTTTCTTTCTTTTCTTATGTTTTTTCACTTTGTTTCATGTTTTTCAAAAAGTTTTATTGAGTCAAAAACCAGTCCGGAAGTTATGAACTTGCTTTGAGAATTGAGAGTGTTGTGCTAACAATCCATGACCCTAGAGCAGAAACCAGCTAAAGGCACAAGCCTAACAGAAGCTCTTACAGTGGATCGACATGCTAGCTCAGCAAAATTTCTAAGGTAACCAAGCAATCTAGAGTTAACCTCACCTTAATCAATCTTAATACTCTTGTCAAGGGGGTTGGCATACATGTCGACAGTTCCTTGCTTGATTTTCAATAAGATTTGTCTAATCTTTAAAGAGTTCTCCTCTCTCTCCCATCCCAAATGGTAAGTAATGATATATGAGAAAAAGCTCAAAGAGCACAAGGAAAACAAGTAAGCATGAGGAATGCATATGTCTGTACCTTCATGTCTTATGGAATACCTTAGTCAAACAAGGAACAAGCTAAAGACTTATCCTGTGGTTGAAAGAAGGGTCAATAGAAAAAATAAAATGATACCCTAGAAAAGTAGGGAGAAATTGACCTTTCAAAGTTCTGATGTGAGAAAGAGAGAGGAAAAGAACTCATTGCACTTAAAGACAATCTTGGAGAAGATCAAGTGGGTAAGAACAAGTTCAATTGATCGATGTCCCTTGATAAAGAACTCACGCTTTAAATTTATGCAAGAGGTTAGCAATAGAGAGTTTGGATTGCTGGATGAGACTAGTTGGGTTGGTATTGTTCGCTAAACTTGCAGGGTGTATGTGAAGCTAACCTTATGTTGTCTATGTTCTTAGTGGAATACAGGAAAGGAACCTTTCACAGGATATTCAAAAGAGCAAGGGAGTTTCCACGTTTTCAAACCTCTTTCACGGATTTAGATTCTTTTTGCTTGGGGACAAGCAAAGATCTAAGTCTGGGGGAGTTGATATACCTCTATTTTACATGCTTTTTATACTGTTTTAGTATTGTTTTCTAATGGTTTTTGGCAGGTTTTCTATCTAAAAAGGTAGTTTTACTGTGTTTATAGTGTCTAGAGTCTAAACAGGTGAAATGATGCATTTTGGAGCAAAACCATAGGATTTGCACTTCAAGCCGCTCCATGCACAAGCATCAACTTTAAGAGGGCCCAGAAAAAGATCTACTCAATGGATTTCATCAAGACCAGTTCCCTGCGTGCTCTGATTGAGTTAACTTTCCAACGCAACTGGAACGGCCTCATTTGGATGAGTAGAAAAGGAGTTATAACCAAAAGAGTGAAGACTGTCCAGACGGCTCTATCGAGAAAGCGCCCAACCGCGCAGTCCGGCTGGCCGAGGAACGAATGTTCCGCGTCGGCCAAGAATCCATCCGTCCGCTCGGCCAAAGTTCAACCGCACCGGCCGATCACGCATCACGACCCGGGAAACATGTCCCGCGGTCGGCCAAGCCACACCACTCACGCCATGCCGCGCACGACCATGCCGCGCGAGCCGGGAACAAGCCTCGCGGCCGCGCAACCTCTCGCGTACCACGGCCGATGCGCCGTCCGAGCCGGGAAGACGTCCCGCGTCCGGCCGAGAACATCGGCCAAATCTCATCCGTCCGACCCAGCGGCCGACCGACGAATCCGTCCGGCCACGACCGTTCCGACTCGACCACGACCCGATGTCCGGCCGATCGTCCCGACCGACCGTCCCAACGCCGCGGTCGACCCGAAGCCCGTTTCACATATTTTCAAGCCCGGCTTAACCCTAAGCCGCCTCTGAAGACCTAGCACTATATATATAGCTTTTTAGCCTCTTGTGAAAAGAGAGCCGCCCTTGTATTTCGATTTCCTACTCTAAGTTTTATTGCAATCATGTTTTCTTCATCTCTATGTGTGTTTGCTTTGATCATGTCTGAGTAATCCACTAGTTAGGTTGCTAGGGTTACTATCAATGAGTTGCTTGCATGATCTTTGATTTCGATGATTAGCTAGGGATTATATAGAGTCTTTGTCTCGTCTTGTGCACTTAACTAATGCTGATTGCTTTACCGCGCATCTAGTAATCCGATCTTAGGTTGATTTGAGCCTCGACAGTGTTGTATCATTCGCCGGACATATTCTTTGACAAGCTAGGTTTCTTAGACTGCGAAAGTTGATCTACTATAATCTAGTGAACTGTATCAGAACCTATTCATTCTAAAGCTTGATTTAATCACCTAGGGACATACCAAAAGTTTAGCGACTAGGTAGATTAACAAAGGAGCCGGAGCCTCGAAAGTGGAATGGTTTTATATTCGTGATCTGTGTTCTAGACGGTTCTTAATATCCCAATATCCCTAATCAATTCATCTATCATTGTTTCATTGATCATTGCTTGCTTCTCTGCGATAGCCCCTATGACCTAGCGCTTTTCCTTATTGATTTACAACCTCGTTTACTTGCTAGTTCGGTTCACCATTACAACCTCAATCATACTTTTGTTTTAGCTTGATCCAAAATCCATAGTTTCAAAGTGTACTCAATAGCCAGTCCTTGTGTTCGATACCCATACTTCCGCGATCTGTGCACTTGCAGAGGTCTAGGAGTTTGGTAAAACCTGACTCAACATCAGGGGGCCCCACCTGCCTTCGGACCTGATGTCCGGAGACTGCAAGCACAATCCTGGAAAGTCAAATGTACTACGAAACTCCAACATTTTCTGTGGCAGATTATTAGCAGTTGTTTATCGGTTGGGGCCCGGCTATGCAGTCGGGGAATGAAAGTGGACCCGCAATGTGGGCGATGTGGAATGGGAGATGAGACTATAAATCATATGCTCTTTGAGTGCCCCCCGGCTCGCCAGGCTTGGGCCCTCTCACCCATTCCAACGCCTCCTCAGGTTTTTCCTACGGACGCACTCTTTTCGAATATGGCTCACCTATTCTGAATCTCCCAGACAACGATGATATGTTTATGTATCCATGGCTACTCTGGTTCATTTGGAAAGCCCGAAATTATAAAGTTTTCTCAAATGATGATCATAGTCCGATGGACGTAATGGAATCCGCGATAACGGAAGCACGTGCATGGGCTGCGGCCCAAACGGTAGCTGCAACGGTGCACTTTGATATTTCCACACATCCCGGGCCCGTCCTGTTGGGTGAGTGGTGTCAGATTGATGGCGCATGGAAAGTGATGGAGTCTCGGGTAGGACTTGGGTGGTACAATTTTGATCCGGAATCGGGCTCAACCTTGGTTGGATCCAGTACTATAAGGCGGGGGTTATCTCCCCTACAGACGGAATTGGAGGCATTGGTTTGGGCTATGCAAGTTATGTTAGCCCATAACAAACAACGGATGAATTTCCAAACAGATTGTGCTCAGTTGGTGAAGATGGTGTCCAAACTGGCAGAGTGGTCAGCTTTTGAGATTTTGTTTGAAGAAATGGAGAAATGCAGAAGGATGTTTCAGGCGTTCCCTTACACACATCCCCAGATCACAAAACACGAAGGCAGACAAGCTAGCACGGAGTGATCGGGATCAACCTCATAATGTGTACTACATCAACTCAATTCCACCGACCTCGCTCCCCGAGCCGTTGTAGAAATTTAGGCTGTTGACAAAAAAAAAAAAAAAAAAAAAAAAAAAAAACCGTAAACACTAAAATCTAGCCTTAAACCCTTCAATCTAAACCCTAAACCCCAAATCTAAATCCTAGTTAGGGATTAGTGAACCCAAACTTACATGTTAAATTTAGAAAAAATGTAGTTTTGAAAATTTGCACCATAAAGATGTAGCTTTGAAAATGAACCCATCAATATCATGTATTTCTTCAAATTTCTCCAAAACTTTCACAATTTATTATATTATTTAAAATTAATCATAAAAATATTAAAATTAAATTACAAGACTCAAAATAACAACAATTTCCCCACTTCATAATCATTGCTTTATTGATGTTATTTTTAGTTTAAGTATTTATCCTGTATTTTTAAATTTACTATTAGCTTAAATAATTATATTTTCTATTAAATATGTGTCATTTGTATTTTAGAGTAAAAATAAACATCAAAATAATTAATTATAAATCTTAAAGTGAAATAATTTAAAATTTTAAGGACTTTTATAAAGAAAAAGTTCAACTTCAAGATATAAATGGGATGATCTCATACTTGGGGAAAAATATGACAGTTTTTATATTTTGAAGTTGGAAATAGGGTTGAAGTAAAATTGACTGCAAAATAGCAATAAATGTGAAAATTGAGCTAAGTTGGAGATGCTCTTACCAATCACACCAAAATTTATACTATTTGATGTTTCATATTTCTAACAAGTTTTATATACTTAGCTTGTATAAATAATCAAGTTCTCGATTCTTCTTGAAGAAATCGATAGATGCAAGAGGAGGTTCATCACCTTCTCCATCCATCATATACCAAGGACAAAAAAATACGAAGGCAGATAAGCTAGCACGAAGTGAACGAGATCTCCTTCACAAATGTATAGGAATAGATGTTGTTGGAAAAAAAAAGTACTCAGGTTTTTTATCATATGAATATTTAGAGTTTCTTTTGTTTCATTTATATTAGATTTCATTGTAATGTTTTGAATTATATATGATTTTTTTTAATAATACAATCAATTTTTTAGTTTTTGAAATAGCTCATTTCCATGGAATAATATTTATTTTTACAAATAAAGAAAACCTATATATATTTGTGAAATGTTTACATTTTATGTTTATACATATAGCACAATAACAAAATGAAACAAATTCTTACTTTTATAGTAAAAGTGTAAAACTATATAATATTGGGTAAAAGTAATATTTTGTTATTAATTTCATACATTAATATAAGAGAGAGATTACAATAATAAATTATACTATTGTGTCATTAAAATATTTAATTAATTATTTTATTTAAAAAATATTATACCCACACCACCTTGTAACGAACAAAAGAACTTTCACAAATAAAGGAGAAAGAACATGGAAACAGAAACCACCGGCCTTTAAGTTACACAATCATAAGAGTTTTGTGTTATATAAAATAATACCAAAATCTTGAAAATAAAACAAAAAAGGAAACTAAAACCAGAAGCAGCCAATAAATTTTTCCATGGATCGAGACAGAGGATAACTTGGAGAGAAAAAAACTATGCTTGCATCAGAAGCACATATTCATTCAGTCCCTCTTCTGCGTAGGAATTACCAACTCGCATCCCTGAGAATTAGAGATGCAAACGTTTTTAAAGAATTGAGACAGCATCAAGTTTGTACATAAGATGTAAAACAATATTTTACCTTGTTCCCATCGGCAGCTACTTCTCCATCTAAATTTTCTTTTGCGATCTCTTCGGTTGATGGAATCTCTGATTCTAGTGATTTTGTAGTAACAGCTTCTTCATCGATGTTCCTAGTCATCAGAGAAACAAAATTTATACTATACTATTGAGCTTTACCAATTAAAATATCTATTTAGGTTATGACTCACTTGTTGTCGAAAGCTTGTTTGTTCTTCTCCAAACACTCGACTAGATTTTTCTGGATGTCTGTAGTTTCATCCTCTCTCTTATTCGTTTTCCTCAGTTTCTTTGGTGAAGTTTCATCATCACCATTCTCAGAGAATAATACGGAACTTGAAGTTCTGGCTTTTGACCTCGTAATCCTTGAACGCAAAGGAATCTCTGTGGACACTGAAACAAATCCCCAAACTATTTTCATCTAAGAGAAATGCGAGATGCAGACGTACGTTCTCTACCAAAAGACATGAGTGAAGAGAATCAATCTAAACAAAAACGGTGGTTCACTTCGAAAATCCAATGCAACTAGTAATCAATCTAAAAATTCAGAATCTGAAAAATAAATCATCAAGCACGGTAATATAGCCATACTAAAATAAATCCAAGTGTATATCTAACTCTGAAGATACAACTACTAATAATTCAAGTTCCAATCAACAAAGCAAACACAAGCTCAGAAGATACAAGAGTACGAAACGGTATACCTTCATCATCAGCGGCGGATAGATCGGCAGATAGATCATCGTCATTTATAAAACTGTCATCGTAGTCGTACTCACCGACGCTACCATTGTCCATATCTGAGAAACCAATGTCTTCTCCATATGACTCCCTAATTAAGTCAAGGATACAATACAAAGCAACAATCTATGAACAAAAACAATAATCCAATAAGAACTTTAATCTTAAAACCGATAAAGAGGATACAATTCGTCATCATTTTGACTAAAATATGTGCTAGTTCCAAGGATGTAGCCACTAAGGTGAATGCTACCAGCTCCAAGCACAGAGAAGATGACATCATCAGCTTCTTCAAACACTATGTTCAACTGGCAAGACTCAATCTTTTCAGGAGACAGGCTACATAAGATGACAGGACTACAGCTCCCAACGTTACACTGAAGAACGCTTCTTCCTGCTGCATTTCCAAGCCCCAATGTCGCCTAAACCCAAAAAAAAAAAAAAAAAAAACAAACATCAGCCAAATAACAAAAAGAAAACTACGTGTAAAGTTCTAAGCTTGTTTGAACAAAGCTCAAATCAACAGAAAATATAATAAATTAACAAAACAGAGAGAATTAAGCGTTCAAGGTACGAAATTTTAGGGTAAAACTTAAGATTAGCGACCTGAGAAAGGTGAAGCCTTTGTATTCCAGTTGCTTCCGAAGCCTTCAGAGTAAAAGGCCTCCCTGATCTCACTTCAGCTCCTGCAAAACACATAAATCTCATCAACACCAAACTTTTATCGGAAACAAAAAAATAAACCATATCCATTAGTGGTGAACTCACCCCAGAACACCATTGAATTTTCGAAGAGAAAGAAAACAAAAAATCGTGGAAGCTCTTTTGGTTGCTTTCCGTCTATTAGGCGACGAGGGTTTTCGAGGGTTTTATTGGCGAGGGTTTAGGTTTAATTTTTTTTTTTTTTTGGCGCCCTCATTTATTTGGATGCTTCGACTATAGAAAAATCAATCAAAGAGATTTGAATTCGATATAGATGCTTAAAATGATTCGAAGTAGTAATAAATGACATACCAAATTATAACAAAAAAATATTTCTCGGGGAAAGTATTGATGTATACTATTTCTACATGTGGAAACCGAAAATAATCAAAATATTGAGATCGCTAAATATATACTTTCGAAAATATGGCAGATTCCGATAACAAAAATTGAATGGTTTAGATTACGAAATACGGTACCTTAGCTCCTCATGTATATTCGAAATTAAATTCCTCTAAACCTCCTAATGGACCAGTCCTTAGAACACTATAAACAGAGATAAGTTGATCACAAGAGGACATACCTCTACAGTCAGGAGCATGCTTAAAAGGATCATATCCTAAACCATGCAGGTTTTGCTTCGGGTTGAGAGCACATATCTGCAACAGAAAATGGAGAAACAAAGAATATCATTACAATCAATGTAGCTCAAGGTAATATATAAAGAACTTCTGCAGCAGATTGACATGTATATACACAGTCCTTTTCAAAATTGAGTATATTTGAGAATCAGATCTCCTCAACAGACTCCCTACATTTGGGTCCGAAAATACTCTCTTTCATTGACAAAGATAGCATCTTTAAAGGTATGCAAAGGGAAAACAATGAAAATCAATTCTGAATACAGAGCCAAGATAGATAAAGACACTATCTTAGGGCATTTAACAAAATTATGTACCTGGTGATCAACTATCCATCCATGATATATTTGAATAATGACAAGTAACTCAAATATTGCGTGAACTCAAAATCACCAATCCTGCAACCAAGTAACAGTTCATGGTTATGAATCGGAATTTTTAAAGAGTAGAAACCAGAAACAGATCAGATCACAAACGTATAAACCTTCTGAATCTAATACTGACATCAATTTAAAAAAAAAAAAAAAACTGGAATTTGAGTTTCGTGAAAGGTAACTGTCAAGTGTTTCAGGCAACTGAAAAATAAAATGTACTGATATAGTCATATAGATATATATATATATAGACCATGTACAGTGAGCTTTTAGTGTTTTTTCCCTCCTTCAGAAGAGTAAAGTAAATAAAAAAACTTGCGTTGCTTTTTGTGGTACATGCAGAAGTGAAAAAGTGTAACCATTGCCTTCAGTGCACCCGTTCTGTTAATCAATCCGGCTTATCCCGAAGTTGAAGACTTAAATGTTTATTCGTTCTATAACATATCTGATGCAAACACAGAGAGAATCATTACTTTTTTGGACTTGTGCTTGAAGGAAGTAGAAAACAGAGAACTTACCGGAACCATCCAAGACTAATTCCACAGCAAGAATAGTTGGCACTGCATCACATAGTCAAAGTTACATGTCTGACAATAGAAAACAATAAGACATGACAAACATAAGAGTAGATGAGCAAACATCGATTCATACTCTTGCCTAGGACTTGAACAAGAAGAAGGGAGAAGAGAACGAGACATGACACAACTTACCTATCAGATTATAGTACAAACCGAAACAACCAAACTGTTGCTACAACTCAAAGCTCCAAACTTTAAAATCTATTTCGCTGGAAATTATGCCATCAAATATTGCTCTTTTTACTTCACAGGTAAGTTGTTATCCAGCTCTTGAGTATCAAATCAATTTTTCCAGTTACTCCACCTCATTTTGTTATTTTCAATGTATGCAAAAGAAGTTAAACTTACACGCATGCACATAACTTTGTGCCATAAGAAATCACCGCCTTAGAGTTTATATTTATTTTCTTGATTTTGACACCCACATTAGAGAACTCTCGTATGAGGTTCTTTAGAAAAAACAAATATTGTTCTAAATTTATAGAAATGAATTGAAATAAAAATATTATTAATAAATAATCTACAATCTGAATAAGCCATACATTTTATAGTTTGAGGAAGAAGAACGATATTTTAACATTTTATACATGTAAACTATACATTTATACCAAGCTAAGCCTTTATCTATATATATAATCTGAATAAGCCATACATTATCATTGCAGCAAACTCTTCAAACAGAACAGCGAAAGCAGGAAACAAGGCAAATCTAACTTACAGGAGGAGTATAACCAGGAAGAACTTGAGAGTGTGCGTCCAAGAAATCTCCGGTTTCTACAGGACAGCTTGTCTCAGAGCAGAGGTCATGTGTCTCAGAGTGGATATGCCATCCAAAATATGAAACATCAATCACCAAATTCCCACCAGAAATCCTACGATCTTTACCAATACCACAAATCACCCCAAACACAGAAACAAATTAGTTCCCAATATAACAAACACTGATCATCATCCACATGACAGGCCTTAGCAACTTGGCGACACATATTGCAATTAAAGTTGTCATGAATACAGAGACTAGTCCATCTCTGCAATCAAGAACAGCAAGTAACATAATCTCAGAACCAATAGTGTTACAAACAGAACAAAAACAGATGGAGAAAAACAGACCTACATTACATAGTCTCCCATGAAGAGGTAGTTGGTATTAGGGGCGTTACCGCCGATTCGAAAGAGCTCGATGAGGTCATAAAACTGGCATAAATTGGGTGTAAGTGAAGGCCCTTTGAAATTGGTGTCAATGTATTTAACATTGTCAAGGGTCTCTCCTATTACTCGGTTATTGTGCTTTAGTGCAGCAACTATGGAGTTTGGCTTTAACAATCATCAGATCATGAAGCAAAATAGCAAAAGGCCCGGTGGTTGCAGAGACTTTCTGCTCGGTCACGGTTGTTCCTACACAAAGAATTTGAATCCCATTAAGTCCAAAACACGGTCCATAAGCTTTTGCACATCCATGATCAGACTCAGTTTAGGGAAAATTAACCAATGACAATTTCATAAAAAAGATTCTAGTTATTGAATCAAGCAATATACTTTACTTGGAAGAAGAACGAGAAGATCATATAGTTGTAACAAGGATAACTACGTCTACATCATCTTCAGCAATCAGCATAACAAACTCGCAAATCCTAATTTCTACCACAGAGGTGACTACTACCACTGAATCCATCTATTTCAGTCTGAATAAAGTAACCAAAACAATCAGTTCAAGTATGACAAGAAAAACCCAATTCGCATTCCATTTCCCAAAAATGAGAGAAGGATTGCGTAAATTTCGAAATTTACCAAATACCCAGATAGAGACTTACCAAAATTTCATTAAAAATAAAGCAAAAAAACAAAGAAATTAAGGCTAGACGCCTAGACCGTAGAAACACGTACCCTCGACGGAACAACAAATCATCCGGGAAGACTTGGGAGACGAGAGAGATGGAGAGAATAGTAGAGGAAGAAAGAGATGAGCTAGAGCGTTGAAGGATCGAAACTTGTCGCCGGATCGGAGCAATTTTGTCGCCGGATTGAAGAGAAAAAAAAACATTAATCGTGGCGACAAAATTCAACATATAAGTATGCTTAACTTTTATTATTATTTGTCAAAGTGTCATTATATTCATCAAGGTAAAATTACAAAGTCATCATACAATAAATCCTTCAGCCACAAAGGCGGATTCAAACGTGAAGAATAAAAAACACCATTTTCTGGCAAAGTTGAAGCTAATGCATGTGCAACAGAATGAGTGATTTACACTCATAGGCACTTATGAGTTTCATTCTTACAATAAAGGCACTTTGTGCTTCCATGGTGACTTTGGGCTAATAGAAAGACAAAAACTCTTCTCTTTACTTTTAATGTGAATTCCACCGTTTCACCTTCTTCCATATTTTACCTTTTTTTCTACAAATCAGAAACTTAAATAGCCAAAACAGAATAACCCTAAAATTTACCATCGTAATTTCTCGCCGTTCACGCTGCCGGTACCACCATCATATCCATTGTTGAGTTTTCAACCACTCTAACCAAAGATTTCTTCCGACGAGGTTTCTCTATTCGAAGGACAGCTATCCCATAGGAATCCCGTCGTCTCTTTGTGTGTTTTGAAAGAAGAGGATACAAGAAAAGCTATAGAAGGTGATTCTAATCTGTCGCTCTATTTACTATTGGAATTATCATAAGTTTAGAAGGAAAAATGGTGTAGATGTCTTTAATTTTTTTCTGGTTTCTCATAGGAATTGAAGTTTCTGTCAAAGATTCGATAATCGATAAGCTGACGGAGAAAGATGGGTGGAAAACTTATTTTAGCCACGTTCAGCTGTCCATGTAATCTTGGCCACATGTGGTTGGCCATCCGTCAGGTGCAGAATAGGATGGCAACCGTTTTTGTATGTTGTAATGGTTATCATCTGTATCCATTTATAACATGTATATTCATGACATACATTCGGATATCCACGCTTAAACCACTTGGTCAGGTTGATGGGGATAAGATTGGTGATTTAAGTGTACAGCAGTCCATGGACGAGGACCTCAAACTTTCGAAGGAATCTTGCGTGGATAAGACTTCTTGTACAGAGTCCCCGGTCCAACTAGCAGCAAAAGTGGGACTCCTTCTCTGAATTAAGCAGTTGTGCCCTCCCGTCATTTCCTTGTCCATGTGAAGCCGTTCATATGGACATCCACCCTAAGAACTGCCTTATGGGTGTTTTTACAAAAAGTAACTAATATGATGTGACATCTATATAACAAGACTCAGTTTTTTATAGTACGATGACCATCTCATAGTATAATGAAGAACAATATATCGTGGATTAAGTTTTCTTTCATCAACATTATACGTTTTATTGAACGCACAAATGCACATCGATGAAATTTTTTGTCATGGCTATGTCATTGTATTTGAAAGTTTTTATGTTGCTAGCTTTAGCTTTGGCGTTTTACATCGCTTCTCAATTTCATGTCTACTTTAACCTGTCAATACATTAATT